CTCCCTGCACGTCCCAATATGCACTCGGCTGGTATTTTGCAGCTGAGTAGCAAGCAAACTTGAAAAAGGCAGTAAACCGCAAGTTCTACCAAAAGTAGATGAAGAAAGAAAGCATAGGAAAGGTGCATATGTAGCTTTAGAGCATTTACACACCTTCATTTACAAGCTCACAAGTCATACACAAGAGTCTGGTAAACACACTTCCGAGTAGTTGAGCGCTTGACAGCTAAGTTGGATTTAACGCCTGACTGGCCAGCGCACTTGCATGTGCTTCTGCTCGAGCACGCCACGAGACTGTTGTGCTTTATTCACATACATTTAAATGTATGTGCCAACAACTCAGAACGTGAATGTGTGCTTTACATACTCGTGCATACATATTTTAATATCAATAAAATTCCAATAAATGTGACCCAAAAGTACCCCGGATTATCGTAAAGAAGTAAACCAATTTTCTGTTTTGGTTATACATTTTAAAAAGCTGAAACGTGTTAACGATATTGAGCACCTTAAATATTTCCCATCGCTTGTGCGATTTTTGAATAGTTTAACAAATTATAGACAAGAAGAAGAACATAATAACCGCATTTAATGCTTAACTAACCAAAAATCCTGAAAATCCTGTATTTGACGGTTTAAGAATTTTTAATATTATTTCTTTGAACATTCCTTTTCGTTTTAGACCCACTTTCCATCGCATTTCAATGCAAGAATGCTCTTAATTAAGCTTGCAATTTATTTTTCATGATAGTCAAACAAATATGCCAGGCAAAAAGAGAATGAATAAAATTCCAATATGCGAAGTATGAACATAGACTCAATCAAAGCCACAGCGTTCGAGTTTCCTTAGCAAAATGTATTTACAACATACTCTGGAATTCTCTGTAAAACGCAAAGCTTTTTTTTTTGTGAACACAAATGAAGTCTGGTTACTTAAGCTATACTTAAAGAATTGTAGGTATTTCATTAGGGCTATTCGCGATCCGGTGCAAATGGCCTAGCATCATTGCATTGCAAATTTGTATTGCAAATTATTTGCAATACACAAACAAAATACACGCATTTGCATTTGTCATGGCTTGGCAAATTTGCAATACCGAAAATCCATAGCATAAATATGCTATGCATTGCATTCATAAACAAAACCAAAGCTGATGCACAAAAAGTGTTTTGCTAAAGCTTTACCATGACAGTTTAATAAAGGTCGCTCACAATCCACGGCATATTTCTGCAATTGCATAAATTTGTCAGCTCTTATGCACCGAATCGCGAATAGCCCTATTATGTATTTAGATGTTGCAAATAGTAGTAGTAGTAGTAGTAGAAGACAGGGTAACTCTCTATCGCCGACTACTTTTGTCTGATATTGGAGAGGCTCAAAGCCCAATAGCTCAGGCAAAATTGTTTGTTGCTGGCATTTGCTGACAAAATATGAGATGTATGACATAGACATGGTTGGTTGGATTTACGATAACAATCCAATTCTGCATGCAATCCCATACCCAATTTTTGCTATTTTGATTTCCTAACTCGTGCAACCCACACCGATTTGGCGGCTTCAATGATACTGAAAGTTATACACGAAAAAGGTGGCTGCACTCTGAAATATTCTGAAGAAATGATTTGCTTAGTGGCTTTAGCCTCATTCTTGCGATGGCTGGACACCTTTAGAGGAAGTGTTCGACTGTGTGTCGTTATCCTTATCCTTATTGAAGGGTAAACCGATTCTATCGGCATGCACTACTATGGGCTAGCGCCGTGACAAGACAGCCGTGCGTTTTTTTTTTGCTTATTCCTAAAGAGTACCGGTTTTAAGTGGGTTATAGGACTCGCAGCACTGCCGGGTAATCCTTTATAGTTCCCCTCTGTCTACCTTTCAAATGGTAAATTTCTACAATTTTGCCCTTGATCTACCTGAGCGGGGCACCCATGTACACCGCGGGGGAAAAATTCAGTTTGGATTCACAACCTCACTAGTTTAACCCCTGTATCATTTCTGAAAGTGTCCTGATGCCCAGGGACTCATGTTAGGGTAATTTCATATTTATAAGTAATCGGGGCCAGCTCTGTCTGACAGTCATACACTACTTATATGAAAGTTGTTCGTATCGGAACCCGGTAGTGGTAACAAAAAAAGAGCAACTCCACCTTTGCGATGCACAAAACCAGGGCGAAAAGGAGTTGCCTTAACTTCCTATTTCCAGTTAGCGGCAGTTGCAATGGCAGAGAAACTACTGGCCTGCCTTATTAAATTTTACCAAAATCGCTTGCGCGAAGTCTGTGTCATACTAGTCGTAAACAAAAATACATACCTCATTGCTTACACTACTTGTAGCCCAAACTTTTAATCCTACAACTATCTATATAAATGGTTCATATATATGTGTACGTGGAATATTTTACGCTAAACGCTTCAGACAAACCCTACTTACCCTTTCTCCACTTTGTTTCGGCTAAAAATAAATGCCACATTTGGAGAGCTTATCGATTTCTGGGTAATCAATAAATATACAATGATCGTACTAAGCAAACTAGAATGAAAAATGGCAAAGTAGTTAGATAGTTCCCAATAAACATTTTTGTTAAATCTCAATTTGAGATCCAGTTGAGAATCAATTCTTTTCTCAAATCTCCAACGTTAATTCTCAAATAACCGTTGATAACGTTCTCCAACTAAAAGGCACATATTTAATATGAAATTTTCCTTTATTTTCAAATTGAGAAATGTTGAATTCTCAACTTTTTCTCAAACGTGAGTGGAGCGGAAAGAAATGAAATCCAGTTACTCGAATTGAAATATGTTTATAGTGTTGCCAATGATACATGTAAGAGAACACACAGTTTTTATAGGAAAGGAATTTTTATTTATTCAGTTTAACAGTTTATTTAATAGCTTATTTATTCCGTTATTTTAACAAAGAAAAATACGCTTGATGTAAAAAATTAGTTGCATAGTTTGTTTTGAAATTAGACAAATTGCGAATAACAAATTTCTTCTCAAATGTTTCTCAAACCGTTCTTAAATTGATAAACAATGCGAAATATGATTTTCGCAAACTTTGGAAATTTTTTGTTCCGGTGTTTGTTGGGATGTTACAATTGGCATCATACAATTGCACACCGATACACGCGGAGCAAATTTGCCTGTAAATTAATATACATACATACACGTATATACAAGCCATAAAACATATTTATGAATTTATTGCGATTTATATCGCATGGACTATTTTTAGTATTAAATTTATATACCCACAAAGCAACACTAAATCACACCCAAATATAGGTATGTACGAGCATATGTATGTATACATATAAATATATAGTTATGTATAAAAGCTCGCAAAGTCATTGCTGAGTTGTAGTTTTAGGTGAAAATGAACTCAGTGGATCAACCGCAGTGGCGGGCACACAGACACTTGCCAGCCATATTGATTTTATATTTATGTAGAAATGTAAATTCCTTAATTAATGTATATGCATATATGTATATATGTTCTTATAAAATTGAAATTTCATATACATACATACATAAATATAACGGTTTTCCTGTGCGTCAGGTGATTAGGGCGTGACAAACGGCGCGTACTACACCTCCTTTGTTTTTTTTTTGCTTTAGTTTTCTTTCTACCAAATTTTCCTTATTCTGCTTCTAGCGGCGAATTTTTGTCGCTTAAATTTTTTTGGTATAACAGTGTCAATGGCATTAATAAATACGAACATCAAATATAGTTTGTTGATAGATATTTTAAAATGCCTTAAAACGCAAGTCATCACGAAATACAAACATTTTATATGCACATTAGGATGCCACACCAAAAAAAAGGTTTAAGTTTTTCCACCGGAGCTATAAAATTTATTACAGTTAAGACTTCCGTCAAAAAACTTCGAGAAAATGTCAAGATTTACGTGGGCTCGATCGATTTAAAAATAGCTTCAGTAAACTTATTATTTTGATTTCGTTGACACAATTTTTTAAACATTTTTTGCATATCTTTCAAGCTTAAGCCCTTCTATCTTCATGGCTGATTTTTTGGAAAAAAATATTCATTTTATTTATAAAAATTTTGATTTTTGGAGGTAATTACAAATCGCTTCAGCTAAATCTTTACATTAGTCCAAAATATTTCGGCAGAAGTCTTAGAATATGATAAATATTAGAATATGAAAAATTATACTGCAGATTTTTTTGTATTAAGCGTGCTTCACCCTAATGTTCATGTCAAAAGCTCTTTGGCTCTCAATTCATCGACCAAACTGCCCTTAACTCGTATGCCTAGGAACGGAGAGAGTTAATAATGTTATTGTTCTCGTTGCTATTGTGGTTTTATCAGTAGCTTGACTCTAAACGTTTGGTAGTTTAAGATTTTCAAAATTAAATTAAGAGTAAGTTGAAAAGATGATCTTTGTGTGGGATTCCTAGCTCCCATTTCGTATCTCGCTCCTTTGTATTTTTTAGTAACATGTTTGCCAGTGAGATGAATTCCTATTTGAGTTTCATGAAGACTTTTCTCTTTGTAGGCTTAACCGGCAATTCTTCTAATTTTCCAATATATTTTGCTTAACCTAAGATTTTAATAAAAACAAACAGCAATGCTAAGTCTAATTTTTTTTTTTCTTTTTTTCCTTTCAGAAAACTCCGCGCTTTTCCGCTGCCGAAATGCTTCAAATAAAATTAAAAAATATCATACGAAAAGTCGAAGCAACAAATTCATATCGAAGTCAAAATACATACCACTAAATAAAAAAAAAAAAAAACAGATCAGATGGAATGAAGAAACCATTCAAAGTGATACTTATTTTAGTAAAAATAAAAAACGAGCAAAACTACAAAGTAAAACATAAAACCAGCACAATCATCTCAAACGAAAGCACAATCACATTACACTGCAGCCAAAAATAACAAAAAGAACACCCACAACCAAAAAAAAAAAAAAACAAATCAAACAAAGACATATACACGCACAGCGCGCAACAAAAAAAAAAGATTTATTCGAAAGTGCAGTAAAAATTCAGCCTCAAAATGGTCGACGACTTTTCACCGATGCGCATGCAAAAGAAGACGCGCAGCGCATCCATTTGTGCGACCACCGGCGCCAGCATCGAAACGGCCATACATAGTATGCCGACATATGGCGCAGCATCGGGCAGTGCCACACCCGAAAGCGGTGGTACGCCCAGCTATCGGCGTCGACGACCGGCCACACGGTCGCAGAGTGCGCGCATCACCAGTGGCGCAAAATCGGTAAGTTGGCAGATAGCAATGTATGTATGTATGTATGTAATCGTACATAGTATGTATCCACATATGTAAGTACATTTGTCATACTTACCGAGTACAAATGCGCAGGTATTTTGTCTTTTCTGTTTCGGGCGAATGCAAATATTTTTTCGTCACAAGAATAACGTTTCCTCGCATATGCGGGCAGCAGCCAGCACACGACTTGCATTGCTATTCAGTTCAGTTTATTTGAATTTGAATTTATAGTACCACATGCCACAACTGCCACAGGCCTTGCAATACCGAAATTTCACTGTGTGTGTGTGTGTTCATCGCGACTTCAAATGCATTTCTAATATTTGTTGTTTTTGTTATTTTGCTTCTGGCATTGCTTTTTCATAGTTGTCGCTTACAAAGTGCAATGCACGCATGCCAATATGTTGCAAGCAGCACGAATAAATAAATAAATTACGCGAATATTGTGTATTTTCGTTATCAAGAATGTTTTAGCACACTGATGCTTACCTATAGGTAAATATACATATCTATGTATGTATACATACATATTAGGGTGATTGACTTGGGTTTTTCCAAACCGGTTTCCACCGTTTTTTTTTTTGGAAATCTATAGGCGAGTTTTTTTTGAAATTTTGAATTTTCGAACATCGAATAAACCGGTTTTTTTTTTGATCGAACAAACCGGTTTTTTTCATTTCATCCAAATCTTGACCTGTGAATATAACTTTTAGGTTTTTCCAAGTTTTGCAGTTCAAGAGAGCCCATAAATAGTTTCAAAATTATATCCTAGGTTATTTGGGGCTGAACAGTATATCATATTTGGTTCCAAAAAACGAATGCTTGGCGCCTAAACGCTTTCTACGTGTTTGGCCGAGTTTCTCTTCGCATCCGTGTTCTCCTTTTTTTTACCTCCCTTTTATTAGCTCGGGATGTAACTATGTAATATTGATGCGCCTAAAAGATGCAACGATTTCTATTCTCAAGTTACATACAGTACGAATGGAAATTATAATAGCGAGGTTTTAAGTTTTTAAACTATAATTTTGGTATGGCTGAAGTACACTCCGAGGGTTGCCATTGTCTGCCGAGGGGCGACCGCTTCTTGTGAACATTCCTGTTGATGTTGCTGGATCCAGAAATTAAACCAGGGATCTCCCGAGTGGCAGTAGGCACCTCTAAAAACTTGGATACCGCGGAAAGAGCACTACTCAAAACCGAAAAAAGACAGATACTATGCAATAAAGTATTAAAACAAGTAATTTTTAGCAAAAAAAAAAAACATATTAGTATGGGACCACCTCTGAGACACTACCTTTCCGGTACAAAAAGAATTATCGAAGTCGGTTGGCGTGGTCCGAAGTTATGCGGTAACATACATAAAAAGAAATACAAAATATCCCTCCTCCTTTTTTGAAAGTCTGTTAAAAAGACCAAACGTGAATTTTTCACTGATTTTTATTTTATTTTTTTGTTTTAATTGTGATATACAAAAACTTTGTACTTATTTTGCAGTATTTTTTGGTCATGACTTCATAACAAGATATGCATTTTCACTGCATAAAAATTGTGTAAACTAAAACCGGTTTTTTCAAATTGCATATTTTCGAATAACTCGAAACCCGGTTTTGGAGAAAAGGCGAATAATCGAATACCCTAATACATATGTATGTATATTTATTCTAATCTAAATAAAGAAAGTTAAGCATCAATTTCCTATTAAGTGCTCTCAAAAAAAATATCATTCAGAAATGGAAACGAACTTTTCTTCTATCAAAACCTAACTTAATGTCTTAAAGTCGCAAAATGTTGTAATGAGATATCGAAATATTTTTAAACCGATAGAAAATATATAACTTGCTCCTTGGAGAACTTAAGAATCCCGTAAACCATTTAATTTTTTATATTCTAATTAAAAAAAATGCACAAAGCAGTAACCCAGGTGCTTACATACATATGTAGCTATTCAAGTTCAGCTTTTATCCTCAGTTCAGATTTCTCCAGCACTGAACATATTCAACTCGGAACCCTGGAAGGGAAACAAGTGGCGTACTTTGTTGAACTCGGCCAATATCGCATAAGCGGTTACAGCGCCAAATAAGAAGAAGAAAACGTCTATCGGATACAGATTTAGATCTTCATCTGGTGCTCTTTACACACTCTCCTACTTTTTGACGTATTTGGGTCTTTTTTATCCGGCCGACAACCATAACAAAACACCATTGAAGATTATTGGCGTAATAACTGCTGTGTAGATCCATGGCCCGAGTTTAGATGATCGACCCTATGCCTTACCAAACGCTAGAACGTGAAAAACAGCACGCATGTCTAAGATCATGCTCTATTAACTTCGCCGCACGGAACTCCTAGGGTTGACGAAGAATAACCCAGACTAATGTGTATAGACGAAGGTCACGTCCCTTCGCTAACCAAGACGAGGTGAGAACAGCAATAATGTGGTTTGAAAATAAAAATAAAAACATCTGGAGCAATGACAGGGTCAAGTGCATAAGTATTTTCTCGCTCTCGAGATGAACAACTGGCGTCACTTTGCGAAGAAGAGAGCCAAGCCGACAAATGGTTGTAGTATAGGAAAAAGAAGAAAAATCCGTGGGTCATCTCAGACCACCATCTAGATTGGTAGTTCATCGGCGCTGAAAACCAATGCTTCTAAGACTATATTCATTATAAGATCCTGTCAAATTTCAGGGCATATGCTATACTCTTTTTTGCATAAGTTCTAATTCGGTTTCGTATTGACTTTAATGATTTTTAACAGTGCTACTTACACCATAATTTAAATACGAGTACTTGTGAGATAAAAGCCATCCTCAAAGGCATCATTAAAATCGTTACTCAGAAAAATGATTTTCAACCAACGCAAGGCTAATTCATACCTATGCCGCATAAAAAAGGCAAATTTAGTTGCAAAGCATATACATACGTCGCATACACTCAAAGGAACTCACAATTCCAAGTCTCCCTACAGCATATGCGCAAATATCAACTAGGGAGTATTTTTGTTTGAAACCTATGACGGAAAAGCAATCTCCCTTTAAAGCATCGATACTCACAGTGGTGGCGAAAACATCAAACCGATATCGGAAATAAAAATATGTATGAGAGCGGAAAATTGTAATGTCACGGGAAAACGGAAATTGACTGCAATACACAAACTAACTATAGTCGCATTGGATTCGCCTTTTGTACAAAGACTAGCTGGTGAATTTGCGTGTGGTACGAATGGACGTGTTTATGAATATTAACTATGGATATATACTATTACTATAGGTGTGTAACCTACATACAGCAGTGCTCCCGAAAGCAGCAGCTTGACGTCTTGACAATTTATATCAATTTCATTTATTTTTTATAAAAAAATCGCTAATTTTACTAGAAAAACATTCAAATTGAAGTTTAAACTTTCTACAAAATTTATAAAATGTTAACAAATTTTAATAAACATAGATCTACATAAATCCCCATTCAAGTTTAAAATTATTTTTTTCAGAATCATTAAAAAATTTTCGGGTATGCAGTTTTGTAGCCCATTCCAATTTAGTACAACATAGCATATAAAAAAATTTCATATAACTTATTAATTAAAGTGATTTAGATTTCCTAAACACGTGGCAACGCTCTTAAAAACTATATTCAAAATCAACCTTTCATACACCTCTCCCATTTGACAACTATATTAAAAGACTTCATTAAACTTGTTAAATAAACTGATTCTGAATTACTGAAATAAACAAAAAGAGGTTTGACCTCACTTTCGACACCCATATTCGGAGCTATAGAAAAAAAGACGCAGCGGGGGGCTTTTTACTTTACATAGATATGTGTTTGGCGACTTTTTCGTTCAAATACACTTCCATTCTGCACTTCGCATAAGCTTTTTCATAGCTTGGTAATACAAAACAAAAATTTGTGTTAACATTTTGACATCTTGAGACCTTCTGAAATCTAACCAATAACAGCAAGCAACTCTACAAGCTCAGCTACAGCCAAAATTATGTAAACGTACATTTTTTACAATCATTCAAACAAATTTAATTTCAAATTGAAAATACATTTCTTTCAAAATAATTCAAAATCGCACACACGGAATAACCAGAAAAATTTTTAAATCATGATACATTTTTCTTTCGTCTGTCGATTTTAAAACTGGTTCGGAACAATAGAATTTAGGACTAGTTCGAAACTATCGAAAAAAGGATGCAGCGAGGGGCAATTGACATTTCCTAAGGCATGGTCATGTTAAATTTTCGCCAGTTTGCATGCCAAAGAAACATTTCGCGAAACAGTACTGGGTCTAAATGTACTAGAAGCGCATCCTATATATATAGTTAGTTAGTTGTACATGTGTGTATAAGTAGATACATATCTATGTGTATAGGAACTAGATACACATATATTACACTTTGCGAAAATAAACTGCAATTAATTTGAGCTGCGCAGCAAGTACTCGTATTATTTTACTCATTCGAGCATTTTTTTGCTTAGCGCACTTAAAAGTTTTTCAATAGCTACAAATACAATGTAAACAAGTAACTGATATTTAAAGAAAAATCGAAGCAATTAAGGCGCAATGTTGTTTAAGAAAAAGCAGTATACTTTTTCTCAAATTTCTTCTAAGAGCTTTCTCTCATTTATCAGCCACATTAATAGCTGTTCCTACTAAATTCAAATCAGAAGCATATCTACATTAAAAATATAAAAGTAGAGGGAAGTCAGAAAATCTCAATACTTACTCACGATATCATAAGCCGGATCTGAAAAAATACACAAAAAAAAACGATTTTCGTGAGTGTTAAAAGTTCACAAATTGAACGATCTTTAGCGCCTCATTTGACAATATTTGCTTTCACACCAAAACACTCTAATGATGGCATAATTTTATTTTATTTTGCTTTAGTGCTGAGTGTGACAGAAAGTCTTACCAACTGATTGACGTATGACTATCTTGTCTGCTCCTTGACTGATGGGTAATTGAGTGTTTGATTGTT